GAAGCGTTGGACTAGACAAGTTGGCGATCTGGACTTCTGATTGTGACTGAATCTACAATTGTATGGGACCACAGCTCTAGTCAAACAAGTTCAGGTTCCTACAGCTACAGAACACAGATTAATTCTTCATATGGACAGGTGCAACAGATGGGCAGACAGGCTAATGGAGTACAATTACACCTGTTCTGATAAATCTGGTTTTGCTTAGTTTTCTTTCCTAAGCTGAAATTCTAGAACCAGAATTCCTCCTTGTGCTTCCTACTCGGACTACTACTGTAGTGCGAATACCTTTGCATCTTTGCACTCACTGAGTTCAGGGACACCTGTACATCTCCCCGTGTCCTCACCTCCTTCTTCTGGGGGGATTGCTTGATGTCTGACTCAGGTCCTGCCCTCGGACAAATATTTTTTTCTGCTGTAGGTACCTACATTACCTTCTTACCACACAGTCCATAGTCCGGTCCGCAGTTGCCAGGAATAGAGAACGGTACTTCCATTGTAAGGTTCAAGGGCAGATACACTTTGTGTCAGTAAAAGGTTTCTCAAGAGTGCCAACTACTATGTCACCACTCACATGTCTGCCTTGCTCTGGGCCCAGTTCTTCACAAACTGCAGCAGTGACCTCAGGGATCCCTGGGATTCTTCTTGGGATTGGCTCAACTCCAGTCCTAGCAAATGTTCTAAGTGCACGTTCGCATTCTTCAACTCCCCTGTCTACACTGTTGAATCTCTCCTCTTAGATCATGTGAGGTGTAAGGATGGATGAAAAGCAGAAGGATCCCTGGAGACATGTTAGAATTTCCCCTAAGCTGTGGAGAGCAGCAGACTTGGGTGGAGGATTGCAGTGCTGTCCATAGATCTGGAGCTAAGCACGTGTGTCCACAAACTCTTTCAGGCTCTCTAGCAGCATCAAGAATGTGCTGCAGGGTGTGCCCTCTGCTCCCCACAAAGACACACATGAACTCCCTGTTTGTTGCAGTGAAGCTGTCTTCCTGCAACTGCCATAAGCCTGGACAGGGAGGGGGATGATCTGTCTAAAGGGAATTTCCTCTGTCCTTATCCTATGAACAGAGCAGCATTTTTCTAACTGTAGAGAAGGGATCCTTACAGTAAGTAAGACTTCCTCCAAACCATACCTACTGGAAGAAATAGATATCCTAACCTCTGCTCCCCACGGTGTGTTCCTGTGGCAAAGGCAGTTGAGTTGTTGGGAACATTTTTGAAGTTAACAATCAAAGAAACAATCTCAAGTAGGAGGGATCTGAACTCAGACCGAAGACATGAGCTTAACAGATCCTCAGCAAATATAGGGTTCTAAAGGAAGAAGATAGCCAAATCACACAATGTTCTGACATTTTTACACATTTGTGTTTTTACAACCTATTACAGTGTTTTATTCAGACTAAACTTTCTCCTGTGAAATTTCTCTCTCAGCCTCAACATTTATAATCCTGATGAGTTTTTTGTATAATGATCAATAATGCTCTAGCTAATTTTTTAAAAACTCACTTGTTGGAAAAATAATTGAACATACGAGCACAAAAGGAGAATGTGAAAATTAAATGTAACTGAGACACTAAAATATGTAGGAAGCATATTTTCTATTGCAATACTTTTAAAATTAGAACATATTTTCTTTAAGAAAATATTTTAAAACCTCTTCTGTGATCTAATCTTCATGCTTTTTTGTGTGTTTTCTGTGATCATTCGCTTTTCCCCGCCACTTCGGGCAGGCTTTGGTGACCTGCAGTATCACAGATGGGCCACAAGGTGGCGCCATTCACCACTTCATCTCTTCCACCTGTCAAGGGTGGAGTAACAGCAGCCTACGGTGTTTTCCCCAGAGGCAGAAACATAACCTTATTCTTGTCACATTTAAAAGAACGGAATGCAGAATTTACACAGAATTCTCAAAATATGTTTTATCTTCGTTGTCAGTAACCCCCAGCGGACCAACTTTTACTTTTGTTCTTGAAATAATTTGGAGCAGCAAATGACATCAGGCCTATTTTATCCATCAATCAAAGGGTAATTTCCTATGTTTGTTACCATAGCACCCACAGCTATGGTGCTTTCGTGCTCTGTCTCCTTCATCTTGGCTCCCTATTACAGATAAGCAATCAGTTTATCTATGGACCCTGAAACCAGGTGAGAAAGGGTACACAAGAAACCCGGAAATCACCACAGTGGCGGCTGAGGAGTGAGACCCAAGGCGTCTGCTGCTGCCCTGCAGATGGAGACTCTTAACAGGCCCTGCTTTTTGTGATGGGGGCTTGTGTGCACCAGAACTCACCCTGAGCAGTTGCAGCTTAGAAGTGCCCAACACTGAGGGACAAGTCTTTGTCCTGACAGCACCCCAAACTTCTCCCTAATTAACTTTTCAAATGCCCTTAGTCAGGTCGGTTTTGTTCTTCAAGGGAAAATCCAAACGGATCCCAGCTTGCCTTTGCCTCTTCTCCCAAAGCAGACGGAAGCACAGGCAGAAGGCGTTTTGTCAAAATCTGAGGTTAAGACATTTGGTTGTGACCTGCCGCACCCTCAAACATTTCACCAAAACAGACGGGCATTCTTGGCTCTGGCTTTCTTTAATGAGTCTCTGATCTAATAAGGATCAAGTTATTCTTTCAATTATCAAAAAGTATAAATTTAAGGGATACAGGTTTAGGACATAGTAAGCTATGTAAGCGTCATGATGCGTCTCCTCCTCCTCTCTCCTTTCTTCCTCTTCTTCCTTCCTTTCTTCCTCCCCCTCTGCTTCCCCTCCCTCCTCTCTGATTCTTATTCTCTCCCCTTCCCTTCCTCTCTGTGTCTTCTTGCCTCTTAATGTCAGTTCTGTGTTTCTCCCTCATCTACAATCCTCACAGTATGTCTGTTGGCCTGGGTTGGGGAGTGATCATTGAGGCTACTATTTAGAAAGGAAAAGTTAGGTTGTGTGTGCATGGGGGGGGTGTTCTTTTTAAAAAATATTTTATTTATTATTGCTTATTTTATGTATATGAGTGTATTGCCTGCATGTGTATAAGTACACCCGTGTTGTACAGTGCCCACGGAGGTCAGAAGGGGGTATAGGATCCCCTGGAACTGGAGTTATAAAGGGCTGTTAGCCACCATGTGGGGTGCTGGGAATTGAACCCAGGTCCTGTGCAAGAGCAGCCAGTGCTCTTAAGTGCTCAGCCATCTCTCCAGTTCATGGGAGAAGTGCTCTTTTACATCTCAGGCCAGGTTCTTAGGGGACTGTTGCTCGGTGGCTTTTCCCATACTTAAGTGGTAGCTGGGAAATCATTTGATATATTTTCACATTTGGCATTTCAATTTGTCACTGTTTTATTTTATTTTTATTACGTGCGTGTGTGTGTGTGTGTGTGTGTGTGTGTGTGTGTGTACATGCTTGTATGTGGAGATCAGAGGATAACTCTCAAGGGAGTCAGTTCTCTCCTTCTGCTATGTAGGTCCCAGGGATTGAACTCAGTTTGTGGACCTTGACTGCAGGTACTTACCTGCTGAGCCATCTCTCTGACCTTGCCAGTGTTTTAGAGGAACTTCCTGAAGTCTAACATACGAGGAGAAACTTTCCTGTTTCTCCAGATTTACGATGGTGTTCTCAAAATTCACAAATTACGCATGCTATCAATCAAGCCATGTAGTTTCAAGAATATTGTATATTTTATTCCCCTTATTAGAGGATGTAAAGATATAGCCCAGGTTAGCACATCTCTAACAAAGAGCACTGCTGCCACTGAGATGTCATTACCCACTCTCAGTCTCAACCTTAGTCCCATGGTACTCATACAGATTTGAGTGCTCGAGCTGATGCTGTCTGGACTCAGTTCTTTGATGAAAGAGGTAATTATTGTTAACAAAAAACATAAGATTCAAATTTACCAGGCTCTTGTGCACTCATGTGCACACATAGCATTCATACTCACACAAAACACACATACACACATGCATATGCATGCTCACATACACATGCACACATATGCATGCTCATATACATATATTCTTGTATGCATGTATATGCATGCACGCACACATACAGACACACACATACACGTACACATAGGTATACATGCACACATACATACACAGATAAGCATGCATGCATGTACACATATACAAGTATGTACGTATATATGGATACACATCTGCACACATATACTTACACACACATTCATTTGTATACATACATGCATACAAATAAATGCATGCACACATATACATGCATATACTCATATATGCACATATGTACACATACACACCCACATGCATAAATACATGCACATGTACACAAAATGCATGTGCACACATACCTGCACATAAGTACATGCATGCACAAATACATACAGCTACATACGTATAAGCACACTCATTCACCTGCACACACATGTACACATGCGCACACATACATAAACACACATACATATCCATGCAGACATATATATGCACATATGCACACACATGCATCTATGCACACATATTCATACACTTGGACACACATACACCAACACTCATAAATACATCTGTACACACACATACATAAAGTCACACATACCCACATACACATGACTCGGGCAAAAATTTCCTTATGCTCTGACTGCTGATTTATTAGAAAATATGCCTGGGAACACAAACTTGTACTAACTGGAAGAAACCTGACTTGCTCAGCTTTATCATGTCACCTGTTCGTGTGTGAGGCAAAGTGAAGCAGGCAGAGTCCTGCACACAAAAGTCAGCTGTGCATACACAGGTTAGGTGTTAACATTTTGCCCTAACACTACCCCCACCCCACCCCCCGGAAGTTCGCAGTTTGGCTGCAGTGCAGACAAGCGGTGGAGCTGCTGCAGTCTGAAGTGTGCTCTTCAGTGCAGGGGCCTTTCCGTGCTTCCAGGAGGGAGATCAAGGACAAACGCCCCTCTGCGCCTTCTCTCTGCAAGGTTATGTGAGGGAAAGGAAGCAACACAGCAGACAGACACCAGGAAGGAGCCCCGCCCAGCCTCTACCTGTGCAGATGAAGCTGGAGAGGCCTCCATAGATGACTTCGTCATTGTCGGGCAATATAAACGGACACCTCGTCTGGACCTCCAAACAGTATTGCTTGCAAGGAATTGTCTTTCTGCAGTTAAACTGCGTGACTTCAAAATACTGGGAACACAGCCAGGCTTTGTAGACAATCTACAAGAGAAAGAGAGAAGAATCAGAGGTGTGGAGGGACTGCTACAGGGACTGGCTGGCCTGGGAGAAGCAGAAGGCGTTTTCAAGTGGGTCAGGAGACAACTGGCATTTGGAGGAAGTGCGGTTCACATATTTGCAGTGAAGAATGACAAAAAACACAGCTAGGAACATCTGCTGTTAATTCAGATAGTGTTGGATGTAGCCCGAAGTAAAATGCAAAAGGTATCTGATTCGAATATTCTCGGAAACAGTGAGTTCGAGCAGGACCTGAAGTTTTCAGGATCCAGTGATACGTAAAGGACGGAATGACCCAGCAGTTAGACTGGAAGCTGCAGCGCGCGGCCACTTCCCCAGCCGTCTCGCTGCTCATACCGCAGCTGGGCGCTAGATGGCGCTGAGCCTTTTGCAATGACAGCCTGCAGGGGTGCAGAAGCCTGTGGGTTCCTTACAGCCTGCCTCTCCCATGGCTCACAGCAATAAGAAATAGGCATTTGCATTTCTCACTCACAGCATGCGCCCTGTAAACCTCACAGAAAGCCCAGCAAAAACACAGATCAGACATGATGTGCTGCCTATGGTTAGGAGAGGTGGGTGGGAGGTTGCACCAGAGCCCCAGAATCAGCCTTACACACACTGTGCAATTTACATTTGCTAAGTTTTATGAAATTTAATGACAGGTGAAGGGAGTGTGGCTTTATTGAACCTTTGGTTTGTGGTGGCTACTTGGGGGAAGTAAACATTGAAAAAAATCACCTTTTTCCTAACATGAAGAAACCAAGTAAACCTAAATTATAATGAAGTCATGGTAAGGTATCCCACTATGGCACAGATTACCGAAATTCATTGGCAAGTCAAGTCCCTAGCACCGATGAATTCTGTTTCTAGGACAATGACACTACTCCACTAATGTTTCATCCATTACTGTCTGCCTCCAAAAATGCATGGCTCAGAGTTAAAAGTACACAAATACATCATAAATATTAGATAAAAGAGTAAGCATTTATCAAATTCATATACAGTTTTTCACATCAAATACCCAAGATGCATTTAGAATATCACTTCTAGCTGTATTTTACTTAAGAATAGTGATAAGTATAAGGTGGAAGATTTTAGAATTTAAATCTATATTCTGTTGATGCCCCAACTTTTCTTCTTAGAAGCAACTCTGGGCTTAATCTTAAAAATTCTGCCAAAAAACTTATGAAGTTGTAACAGAGGTTTTAGATTCTAAAAAGAGCTTGGACTCAGGCTCCCCAGATCACTGTTTGTTTAGCATGAGGTGATTATGTCAGGTTTATCTAGTAACTTCCTGTTGATTTTATCAAAATGAAGTTTTACTCATTGAAGAAAATGCCTCTATAAGAGGAAAAAGGCTGAATGTGAAACTCCTGTATAATTTTAGAGGGACAAAGTAATTTTTACTTGTTATGTCATCAACGGTCCAGAATCACTCAATCACTTGATATGTAGGAAGTCACAATGACTTTTCTAATAGGGTTTTGAATGGATCTAAACACCTAAAGTATACAATGAAAAACTGACCCAAGAAAATATGATACAAAAGCTGAAGAGACGAATAGAATTTTAATATTTGAACTGGGAAGCAGAGGTGTCCCGTGGACAAACTCCAGTGATAGGTGTCTGAGGACTAGTGATAGGTTGACTAACTTTGGAATCATGGACAGAACCACCAGTTTTAGAACCAGGAAAGCGAAATGGTTTCTTAATCACATTTTGGGTTAAATTGTGAGTTGAAGATGCTTTTTGAAATACCAACGTTTATTTGTTCATTACAGTGCATTATGGGATTTGGCATTTATGGCAGAATTGGAGCTGTGATCCTGGTGTGCTCTGTGATTGCTGCCTCCCACTGGGCATGTTTGTATGTGCAGGACAATACTAAAATTGTGTACTAATATGCCACAACTGTGCATATTTCTGGGATTCTAGGGACTAGAGTGATCTTTTTGGTTTTTTAAGAAATATTCCCACATAATTCCAGAAAATTACAGATCTGTCTATGGGTTCCACTTTACACTTGGCCCCCAATTGTGCCAACTGACTGTTAACCTTATTTTTTTATTTTTAGAGAAGGTCACAAGCAGGCCTTAAGCTCACTGTGTAGCCAAAGATGACCTTGAACTTCTGATACCACTATCTCCACCTCCTAAGTGCTGGTATTACAATAGTGTGCCACCATGCCTTGTTTATCCTATGCTGAGGGTGGGCCCCAGGGGCCGCGTGCACCTCAGGCTGGTACTCTACCAACAGAACTGCAATCTCCAGGTGGCTTTTAAATACTTTAACATCAATGTACTTGAGTGTCCCTCCACAGACAAGGGACAGCATTTAGTGAAACATTTTGATACAACAGATGCATTCTCTCAAGCAGCCTTTTCCTGAGCACTGCCCAAGTGAAACAGATTCATTTTCATTCGAGTTTAACTCTATTTGCTTTGCAGACTTTTTTTCTTACTTGAAAAAAAAAAAGTGTCAGTGACCAAAGCATTTTTTTTTCTAAACTTTTAGTTGAAGGCTTCAGAGAGCATCCATGTTCACAGAGTTGCCAGGACAGCTTCAGGTATTGTACTGAGCCACATCTCCAGCCAGTCTCCCTGCCCTTCAGTTTTGTGATCCACATGGACTTCTAGATATGGGATGAAGAGCTCCCATTTGAGAATTATTAAACTAAGCACATTTTAGATCTTAGGCATCCGTTATGGGAGGAAACTGTGAATCAAAACAAAATAATGACAGGAGAAATATGTTATTATGTGAAAGATTAGGACAGAGGAACAATTTTTATATAACTAAAGATTTATCTTTTCACTGTGCAGACTGTTTGAGATAAAAGAGGCAACAGAGGCACAGAGGGCGTTTGCTAGAATATTCCAGAGTTAACCAGAAAAGATTTGCCTGGGGGGAGAGAAGTTCTGTAATCTCACAAAAGATGACTTGAAAAGTAAAATATCATGCTGCCAAAAATCTGTGAACTGTTCTAGGGAGAGCAGAATGCTGCCTAACAGCACACCATCATGGGTAGTAGATGAGGGGTGGGTACCTGCTGCTGTCCATGCTCTGAGGAAGCTACTGCATGCTGATCCTGTGCTAACCACGATGCTTTTTCCCTTCCCTTATTCCTTATTTTTAATGTGGGGTCAGAAGATAAAGACAAAATTGAAACATTATTGGCATAATATAAAGAATGCTGTCTTCTGAGGCATGGAGTTCTCCATGATTGAAAACATTTACATTTACATTTAGAGGTCCCTCCCCAAAGCATTTCAGGGAGCATTCTTAGAGCTAATGAATGGCTCAAATTTCAAGTTTTTGAAGGAGTTATGTTGATAGGTTTTTTTTTTGTTTTGTTTTGTTTTTGGTGGTCTATAACTAAAAGGAAAAGATTTGGGTTGTTTTTAAAGCACCATATAATTTTCAAACACAATTGTTGATATAAAATATTTGTCTTATTTCATAAAAACCATGTTGCACAAGGAAAATTCCAATTCTCTTATTGTTACTTTGCCTTCTTGCCCCTGAGGAGAGACATAGTAGGTAAATCATGTTTCTACACACCTCTTGAGGTGCTTCCAAAGTTGTCCTGACATACATGCCCTCCTGAAGCGGCAATTGACTGTGTGGAAACCTGACTGACAGTGGTCCACCCAACAGGAAGGAAGATGTGCTGTCAAGGCACAGATTTCCTTAATATGTCTTTTACTTTACACCGGGAAGTGATTTTTTCTCTTTTTTTTTTTTCCTTTTCCTGGAAAAGCTCATTCTACCAGTTTCTTACCCTTCTAAATCCCCTGAGGCTTGTTTGAACATATTTTGCCAATTAGGAAATGGCGATACTGGGATATTATTCAAGCAACGAATGGAATCTGTCTTTCTGTTTTTCTTGATAGTTCAGTCAAGGCATTTGTCATTATGAGATCTGGTGCCTGGAATTCTCCCAAGAGGCTGAGAAATGAGGACAATATGGGGACTCCTGGCCCCTGGAGCCAGGAAGGTGTGGCATACCCAAGCAGAGCGATCTAATGACCATCTCACAGAGCCTCTGCATTCTAAAGGGGGACTTGGGGCCAGGGATGATGGTGGTGGAAGGGCTGAGAGCCTGAGCTGGATGCTAGGTCTGCTGCTGATGAATACACCATATTATGTGGAAGGCAGAAACCCTGCACTATCATGCCTAACATGTCCCCTCGTTATGGTTCCACTTCATCTCAGAACTGTGACATCCTGTGGAGGCTTCCCTGCGTCTCTGCATACAGCCGTGTCCATTCCTCTAGACCAGTCTTGGCTTCTCTGCAGTCCAATCAGTTTGAGTCTCCTTGGTTTGGAGTTCTGTTGGGTTGGAGACTGTGGTAGAGGACTAGGAAGGGTTGGTCCTATCCAAAGAGTTGCATCCATGGATGCTGCCTAAGTACCTAACAAAGACTGACTGACTTCTGTTATTGGCAACATTGAATTTTCTGGCAAGCTTTGGTGTGAGGTGCAGCTGGCCAAGAAGAGGGAGGATCTCTGCCTGCTATGCAGCTGTGAAAGCCACTGGAGCTGAGGCACTCTGGGAGGAAGCCTGCAGGTCAAAGAGCAGGAGCACAAAGGATTTGCTCCTGGGGAGTTTCCATTGGTTGGGGGCTGGGAAAATGACCCAGTCAGTGCAATGCTTGCTGTGCAAGCCTGAAGACCTGAGAGCAGATTCCCAGCTCCCACATAACCTGGAAGAACAGCACAGTAATTATAGCACTGGGGAGGTAGACAGGCATCTTCACGAGGCTTGACAGGCAGTTAACCTAGCCAATCAGCCAGCTCCAGCTTCAGTGGGAGACTGTTTCTAAAAATAAGGTGGAGTGCAATTGAGGAAGATACCAGCTGTCGACCTCTGGCCTCTGCGTGCACCCACACTCATACACCACATCCATGTACACACGCATACACCTTACATACACAAAACATAAAAATAGTCACATAAATAAATAGCCGGGCATGGTGGCACAGGCCTTTAGCCCCAGCACTGGG